TTTGCTGTGACTCCTATTCAACTCGATGGCACCTAACAGCAACTTTCCTTAAATAATCTCATGTCTTGTGAAGGGCTGTTGTTATGTACTGACCCATAGCTGACCCTCCAGGAGGTTTTCAGAGGCAGTTAATCGCACTGGAAGAGATTGCCCCGTCCTTCTCCCATGGAGCAGCTGGTAGATTCGAACTGCATGCCTTTGGAATTGCAGAGCAGCTTCTTGTCACTAGGCCATGTGTATTGATACCATTTTATCTCTCAGTGACTCCAGAATTCCATTGTGCTTGTGTAACATTTTTATTTGGATGTCTCCTTAGTATCGTAATGGTCAAGTGCTCTCTGTCACCAATTTAACTTACAGCAGAATGTTAAGTAGATACAGAGGACTTTTTGGTAATAATTATCTTGGAAGAAATGCTGGTGATTTACTTCTGAAAAGGTGGCTTTTGAAAACACTATGGGGTGCAGTTTCCACACACAGGGTTGCATAATTTGAAACTGACCTTATCACAATCAAGAACCGAGAACAGGTAATCCCCATTCCTTAGTCTTATAGATGCCTTTCAAATTGTCTCTCTCCTCAAATTTCTAATACCAGCCTTCTTCTCTCTCTTCACTAATAACCCTAGATCCTATTTCACTGAAAATTTGGAGGCAATCAGGATAGAATTCTTACCATCTTGCACTTCTACTGTCACTCACTTCCACAATATCATATTCATTTGGTTTTTTGTCTTACTTCAGGGATGGAGAAGATGTATTAATCTCTTGTACTGGTTCTTTCAAATCTTTCCGGCTCTTAGTATTGGGAAGTCTGTTGCTTTTATAATGAAACATATTCCCTTTGCAATCTCTCTCATTTAAAATCAATGGAGGGACACTGCAGGAGAGGAAGACACCAGATGAGATGAATTGATTCAGTATCTGGGGCAATGGGGGTTGATGTGTCAGAATGAATGAGACTGGCTCAGAACAGGTAAGGGTCCAGAGCTGCTGTACATAGGGTCACTATACGTCGTAGCAGGCAACTCAACAGCACATAACAACAAAAACATACTACATTGGTTGGTTTTTTATGTAAGCCTCTTGTTTAGAGTCAACAAGACCCTGGAGAGGGCCTTTGTATTTAAAAATTAGTTATTATATTTTGGAGAAACATTCTTCTAAGTGGTATAGCACTCTTCTGTCAATATGCTGTACTGAGGTCACCCGGGTTGCTGTGATGCTGAACCTTGAGCCATTGGGGTGTCAAATGCCATAATGGTTAACCATTGTGGACAGTGTTTGGTGGAACTCCTAGTTTAAGACAGGTTTGGAAACAGGAGTGACAGCCACTTCCTAAACAAAATGTCTCTGGGAACTCCGTGAACTTTGATAAATGATGATACTTATGGAAAGGCTTCTGGGCTTTTTTTTTTTTTTTTTTTCATAGAATGGCTATGAGTCGTGCTCGACTCAATGACAATCAACAACATGTCTTTAAACCACCTCCAAATTATAGTTACTGCCCAGAATTGTCCCTTGAGCACAGTTCTGTTTGTTTAACTGACTCCTCAAAATGTCTGTGTTGATATATTAGGAGTGAAGCTAATATATTAAAAAATATATTGAATATCATATTCTTCATTTTTCTAAAAAAACCCTACTTCTTCCACTTTCTCTTGATCAAGTACAGCTTCTCTTTTCTAGCTTATGAGACCAACATTTTTGAAAGATCATTGATTCTACTTATCCACCTTTCTCCCTTATACTTCATATCTAATCCATTAATAGCATTTGAATGAATGTTATTGTCTCATAAAAATATAATCAGATAGTACCCACTACTCATCCCCTACAAAAAAACCATTCTGGCCAAGATCACCATCACCTCTGCTCCTTTAATGGAGTATAGCCTTCTTTAGTGTCCCTTTATGCCACTCTAATCACCAAATAGACACAAGTTGTGATATTATTAAAATGTCAGATCACCTCTTCTATCTACTTAAAAAATCCATTATGTTGATTAAACCTAAAGTCTTTACAACAGTCAAGAAAGTCCTACATAAATTCCTCCCTCTAGATCCATTGCTATGTTCTACCGGTTACAGCCATGAGTCTACCTCATAGTGTTTGTACTATAATGCTATTCCCTTCTTCACATATCCTGTTTAAGTGCATGTTCTAATGTTATCTTGATACTTTCCTGGAATGCTCTACTTAAATTTGTAAAACCTTTCTGATTAGTAATCTCTCTCCCATATTTTCCCCAAAACATTATCATTTAATGTCTGATCTAGGAAGCTCTTGTGGCTTATTGGTAAGAAGTTACCCTGCCAGCACAAAGACATATGGTTCAACTCCACCACTGAGAGAAAGATGATCAGAAAGATATGATGTATTGACTCTGAAAAACTGCTGGAGATTCAATTATGAGTCAATTTTGAGTCAATGGTACATAACATAACAACACTGTCTTAGATATTTTTTTAAAAAATCAATACGGATTACATCTCAACATCAAGGAAACAATAATCCTTACCACTGAACCAAGGACATCATCATTATAGATGGGGGAAAAAAATTCCATTCTTTCATTTTACTTGGATCAACAATTAACGCCCGTGGTAGCAGAAGTCAAGAAACCAAAAGATATATTGAGTTGGAAAAATTCTGTTGTCAAGGATTTCTCCAGAGTGCTGAAGAGCAGTGATGTCACCTTATAGACTAAGATGCACCAGATCCAAAATATGGTATTTTCAATTGCTTCCTATACATCTGAAAGTTGGACAATAAGATGACAAGAGAAGAATCAATGCCTTTGAAGTGTAGTGTTGGAGAAGAGTACTGATTGTCTCATAGACTGCCAAAATAGCAAACAAGTCTGTCATGGAGAAAGTGCAATCACAGGCAAGGATGGTGAAATCTCATCTCACATACTTTGAGAGGAGAGGTAAGTGTTGGGAAAAGACTTTATGCTGGGAAAAATCGAAGTCAGAGAAAAAAAGGAAGACTCTCCACAAAATTGACTGATACAGTAACTGTAACTATGGGCTTAAGTAAATCAGGCATAGTGAGCCTGGTGCAGAATTGAACAAGTTTCAGATCTGCTGTTTGTAGGGTCACTATGGGTCATAGTCTACCAGATGGCACTTAAGAACAAGTTTTTTATTTAGTTTTATGGTCTATCTGATCAAAAATGATCAATGAGGTCAAGAAATATTGTAAGCAATAAAGGTCAAAGAATTTGTTATTTTGTTCCTAACATATAGGACAGCAAAGTAAGCAATAAATAAATCTTTATTGTTGTTAAAGAAGATCGAGAACCACCCAGTACCAGGTCTTCGCCCAGTTTTATCCATGTCAATAAATGTCAATATTTTGTTTCCCTCAAACCAGGGCCACTGAAATTATTGTTCGTTCCTCTCTTTCTCTCACATCTCACAAAGTCAGTTCCTGACAAGTATACCTATACATACACACATACATGTACACACACCTTATCCTGGCCACTTACATTTATCTCAAAGTCGTCATTATTAGCATTATATGTTTACTCTATAAGATGTTTTCTGTTTTATTCACCACTAACTTTTTCACAGTTCTACTTTCAACAGCAAAGATGGATCTCAACAATTACAGCCTTCAATCTCTCATTTGTTGTTGTTATGTGCCCTCAAGTGAGAACCTACTCATAGCTGACCCTCCTCCAGGGGGTTTTCAGATGCTGTAAATAACTCGGGCATTTGCTCATATTTCTCATGCTGAACAGCTGGTGGATTTGAACCTACCTTTGAGTTTACAGTCCACTTCCTTCCTACTAGACCACCGGATACAAATATATTCTTTCTCATAGTCACTATTAATCCTTGAAAAGGAACTCTGATCTTTCTTGTATGTGGGACCTATTTCGGGAGAAAATACTATTTTTTTTCTTTTATTTATTTATTTTTTTTTTAAATTCAGAGCAATGAAGACATCTGAGTGGTCAGCCTGGGTCATGTGGTCCTCTATAGGTAGTTGCATGGGAGGTAGAAGAGGAGACTACGTGATCCACAGATAAAAGAGGGAATGTCCCTGAAGGAAACAAGGCAGTGTGAGCAGGAGCTGGGAGGTGGAGAGAAGAATACGGAGGAGACAGAAAACAACAGATGGACACCACAGAAATTTTCCAGAGTGGGACGAGAAATGGGGATAACTTGGGACTGCTGGTCGAAGAAAATAAGTGTAACTTCATGCACTTGGAGAGAAGGCAAGCTGATACCACAGGCATGCTTGCATGGCACACTGTGCCCTCTTCTTGAATGACTTCCTGTGGAGAGTTGCAGGAGGGGTGACCCCTGCAGGGAGAATCCTGGGCTTCACTCTGTGAACTGAAGGGGCAAAGTCAGGGAAGCCGGGACCAGCTGCACAAACTGATACGTGGTTTCTATTTTCCACCGCACTGAATACTGCACCAGCTCATTTGCACAATTCTGCAGCCACGGCTATAAAGCTTCACTAACAACTCATTTTTTTTTTAATTTTTTTTTAGGTCAGGGGAATGAATGTAACTCCGAAGCAAGCAACAGATGTGAAGTGGGCACATGCATAACCATGCTCATAGAGGCAAAGAATCTATATCACACTGCCCCTCTGGAGTTTCGGGTTTGTCTTCTGATTTGAAATTTTATAGCACACTCTTCAACTACCGGCGAGTTGAAATTTTTCTGAATGTATCCCTGCACATTAAAAAAAAAAAAAAGTAAAATAATAATCTGGGTTCTCCCGGGAGTGGGGTGCCCAGGCTAACCACAGGCACACATTCTTCCCCATAGTACAGGACTTTAAAATTAATAGCACATGCTGAGGAAAAACTAAATCCTTTGACGTCACTCCTGAAATGAGGAAACATAAACAGAAAAGGCTCTACTCCAGTAAGCTGCCAAAGTTGAAGCCTATTGGTCTCTGCCTTTCCTTGCCTCTGGCAACTGACAGCGCGCCCCAGCCTCTCAGGCCGGCTGCCTGCTCCAGCGTCTCAGCTCTGGGCACTGCAGCAGCCCCTTCTGTCCCAGCTCTAGCCTGGGACAAAGTGGTGTGCTCCGCAGACAGAATCTCTTAACCTTTCTTCATTCTCTGATCGCTCTGTGTGCTCTTCCGTTTTCTTTTTTTCTTTCCTTTTTTTTTTTTTCCTTTTTAATTATATTCCTAATCCTGGATGAAGTTGCTGGATTCTGCAGCACAAGTCTTCATGAACAAGCAGCCCCGCTCAGAGATTTCACGGCATTCAAAGGTCACAGAACTGCCACTATGGTTAAATGTCTTGTTTAATGGTTGAGGTATGTACAACAAATGTAAGCGGCCAGCTGATTTTTTTTTTTTCTTTGAGAGAATGGAAATCACAGAGAGATGGCAGGATTTTTATTGAAAATGAAGCTGTACATATATGTATATAAATTTCTTATTTTTTTGCTTGTTATTGTTACTACAGCAACCAGCTTTTGAATTTCCTTCCTTTTTCTATGCGAGCTGAATTAACTATCCTGAATTAACCGTTTGCAGGCAACAGGGTTCCATTCCAACTGGTGTAATAGGAGACTCTGAGATTCTCAATGTACTTTGAGTCCCGGCCGAGAAAAGCTTTTAAAATTTATTTATTTATTTTTTTATGAATGCAATTTCTTCTGTATTGTAAACCTTGAGAGTTGAGTCTTTTCGAGCTTTGTTTGGTGAGACATGACAGGAAAAATGTTGGTAAAGAGATTGATGAGGTTTATTGAAAAATGAGACCTTTTTTTCCTTAGAGTTGTCATGTTGGTGGATATCAATGTTGAAAATGGAAAAATTAATCGCAAAAGAGAGGAAAGCTGGTTAGATTAATCTCTAGAAGATATGTCATAAAAATGAATCCTTGAGAAAATTTCACATTGTTATCTTATGCCATTAAAATAAAATGTTTCACAGTTATTATTCAACAGAAGAGATGCAGGTTTTTAGTTGTATGACCAATAATTTAAATCTTATTTTCCATAGAGGTAAATGTAAAACTTCTTCCTGATCTCTGCAAATTTGCCAATTATCTTTTTCTAGAACTGTTGAAGGCCAAATCAGGTCTTCACTTAGGAACTTAAGTGATGGGAACTGGGGGTTAATTAATGATCTCTATTTTTTTCTTTTTTTCACTTTCTTTAGCCAAAGAGAGAACTGTGATGCCAGGTTACACAGGAAAGAAAGACTATGTATTCTTATCCAGTAACACACTAAACACTGCAGAAAGCAGTGTTAGCCCAAGGCTGATTCTGGCACATTATTATTGTGTATTGAGAGACTCTAGCTAAAAAAAAAATAAATAAAGTAAAATCTTTCCTATCCAAAGCATCAGTGTTGGTAAAAACTATCCAAGGATTATTAGGTTAACGTGAAATTCCTTATGCCCCTTCTCATAGCTGTTGGGGAAGAAAAGCATTATTTGAAACCATTGCTCTGCTTCCAACATGTCTTTCTTGTTGTTTTTAAAGTTTCAGTTCTCAGCAGTGAGGACAAACACAGGTCAGTTTAATCATGATCCTAAATGAGGTATCAAACATAAACAGTGTTTCAAAGCGTTAACAAAGTTAACTGCAGGAAGCTGTGATAGACCAAGTTAGGAGCTGCAAAAATATTAGCTCTGAAATGCAGAGGATGTGCTGTGAATGGACAATTGCTTTTCTGCAGCGCCTAGTGGGAAAACAAGGACTGTGTGTGTTGCAAATGCATTAACTACAGCTCCTCCATTTCCTCTGCTTTATCTTCTCTTGCTGGCTGGTGGAACAAAGATGGGTGTCTGTAGTTACTCCTTGATTGGCATCTCTTCCAATGAAGTTGCTTTTTGTCTCCCATTAGAAGCCCAAAGTTGATTAGTTGCAACTCCAAAGCCTGTGTCCTCTGTATAAAAAATTTTACTTGACTCTCTAAGCTCTCTGATTTCAAAATACACTCACTCAGCTGAACAACAGGGGGCAAAACCAGTGGTGCTTAGATAGCTGCAAATAAGCTGAGGGAAACTTAAAAAAAAAATCAAGCTTGGTGGAAAAATCCACATTACATGAGGGACAGATGTCAGTTTAGGGAAATAATTGTAACCATTGAATCTTTTAATATCCTTCATAGTGTTAAGCACAAAGCTACCCATTGTCAGTTCTCCATAAACATCCAGTTTAAATGTGTGATACTTTGCCATCCTTCATATAGTGCAGATGTTAGGTAAGTTTCAAGCATAGCCTTTCCAAATAGCCTTTGAAAGGTATCTATTTAGGGGGGTTATTCCTTCACAAAATATGATCTAGAAATCACTATGTGAATGGAAAGAAGAGGGCACTCCAACATCTACTTGTGTTATTTCAGCCAAAGAACTCTTACTACAAACAGATGTGAATGTAAAATGACCAAGTTTTCTGAGTGAGAATGTGCCACCTGGAAATGCCTCCACCTAAGTAATTAATCTTCCAAAGTCTAATTTGTTGCTAGCCAGGCTCAAATCACAGGGGAAGCCGCTTGTTGACTCACAGAACATAGTGTTGGAAGGAATTTATTAAGTGGTGAACTAATCCAAGCAAGACTAAAAGGGATTCGTTATATTAAAGAGAACTGTCCACGTTAAGCAACAGAGCAGAATTGAAAATAACTTGATGTAGAAACTAGCAGGTATCCTTAACTCGTTCAACTCATGTTAGTATGGTTGGTAACTTATCAGGGGAATGAAAATATATATAAAAATTCTTATCCAAAGAGAGTTCACTTTGCAGTGAATTCAGCTCAAACATCCAAATAGAAGTCTAAGATGAATGAAAGAGTCCCCTTCTAGGAGACATAACTGGTTGAGGAAAGAGAGATTTGGCATCGGAGACTTACTGGCTCTAACATAACAATGAAAACATCCACATCAGCAAAACCTTTTGGTGACATTTCCATTTCTGGACATCTTTGGGTGGGAGCACTTCTGTCGCCTACATGGGAATAGCCATTGGCTCAGTAGCATTGGCTTTGATGGGTACTCTCAGTGGTTCTGTCATCATCCCCACTTCAATTTGTAAGATGATGCCTACTTGATATCTTTTAGTATTTAAAATAGTTGTTGCAGAATTTTTTTTTGGTGAGAGGAAAGAGGAGGGTAAAGGGGATGTATAAACCAAAACCGACCTAATATCTACTATGTTTCTGCATTGTTAATGATTTTTATATAGAGCATGAACATGTCAAAGTGATAGAATGTCATTGATGTATTTCTGCTCTTCTAAAGATGATTTGGGTATACAAATGAATTAATTTCTATTGAGAGATTCATATGTTGTCTGTATTAAGAAGGATTTCACACAGAAAAAGGGGACGTTGGCCTAATTAGTAGGTCTAGCTGGTTTGATTTTTGAGACACTAACTTAGCTTAGTTTCATGTGTAAGAGAAATTGGATGTATTGGGTTATTTGTAGCATCCTGTTTCAGATGCAACTTTCTCTAATATTCTTACTCTAAACTTGGCATATAGATCTGTATAAACATGTGTCAAACTTTTATCAACATTAAGCTATGTTTTCTATAGCCAGAGGCTGTGTCTATTGAAGTATGAATGAAAATGTAGGTAAAGATATGATTCTAACTGCTTATAGTCTGGTTGTTTGTTGTTGTTGTTGTTGTTGTTTACCATCAAGACAGAACCAACTCACAGCTGACCCTCTGGTGGGTTTTCAGAGGTAGTTAATCACATGGGAAGAGACTGACCTTCCTTCTCCCATGGAGCAGCTTGTGGACTCAAATCCTTTGGGATTGCAGTGCAGCTTCTTGCCACTAGACCACCAGAATTCCAACATAGTCTGGTAGAAAGACATATGAACAAATGAACAGAGTTTGTGCAAAGTAATGAAAGAAAGAGAAGTTTGGAAAGGAATTGGTGATGAAGGAAGACTTGAAAGAAGAGGTAACCTTACACAACAATTTTAAAGAGCAAAACTCAATCTTACATCTTTATGGATAACTTACAGTGTAGATAAGGGTGACTAATTGGAGATACTGGAATTTTTAAAAAATTTTATATTTATAATGTTCTAACAAATATGATGGATGTTGAGAACTTGAAAGAGAACTTGATTTTCCATAGGAGAGTTAAACTACTTATAGAACTGAGATGGTCAGTTAAATCAGTGCATTAACATCTGTTCATCATTTTAACTTAGAGTCCCTAACAGTTAAATAAAAATCCTTAGAAAGCTTGGGCAGCAGCCTCAGATCCCATTAGCTATTTGGTTTAAGGAAGAAGGGTTCACAGACTGTCATGGATTTGAACACTGAAGCATTATGATGTCATGGGAAATGCTTAGGGCAGCAGAAAATATTAAGTAGAGTCTCAGAACTTCTAGAAATTCCTGTTGGAATTCAGGCAAATTTCTTAAATTATGGAGGCCTCTGGTTCCTCATCTTTAAAATGAGTATGTTGGACTCTTTCTAGAATGTCTTTTTCCTTTACAAATTTTGTGATTTACTCTGGCAACATTAATATAGAATTGTTAGCAGCATTTATTTCTAGTTTTCCACCTCTTCCATCCCTACATTTCTGCATGTTATCCCCCCCTCTTTTTGCCTATGCAAGAAAAGACAAATTTACTCCATTTCACCTGCAAATTTCCTTCCTGTCAAGAGAAAACAAAACCAAAATAAGATTCTAAATTTTGAAGAATTTCTTCCCAGGAAGACTCTCCTGGGAATGCCCCCCAAACTTGCTCCGTTTTTCTTATTACGTAGGAGTGTTTATCCTGAGAGACATAGAATTCCTTGAAAAAGGAAAGGGGAATGTTCACTGCATCTGGAGTCTTAAAGGCTACAAGGCAGACAGACGTCTATTTCTTAAGTGTCCATCACTGCCCTAGGTTTTAGTTACTATTTTAGCAAAATATTTCCTCAACTCTAATACTGATTTGTTGAATAATTGAAAACTTAATAGTTAGGATGGAGATTTTCAAAAGAAAAAGTTCTTTAGATTATCCATTGGGTATCTGTACTAAGATTATTTTTCCAGGTAGCACAGTCTCATTGTCATGGGATTTGAGGCAATTCAGGTATTTTAATCCAGAGAAATGAAAGTTCTGGGCATATGGAGTAGGCGGTTGTACTGCTAATCTAAAAGTGGCACTTTTCTGGAGGTTTAAATCCACCAGCACCTCCACAGGGGAAAGATAGCCAGCCTCCTCCCCTGTGATTTACAGCCTTTGAAAACCCATTGGAAGTTAAGGCTAGGATAGGTTCCAACTCGTTGGCAATGAGTGTGAGTTGACTGGTGGAATCTCCATAGTACAAAGCATTTCTGCCATCA